TAGATATAGATATAGATATAGATATAGATATAGATATAGATATAGATATACATATAGATATAGATATAGTACAGATACAGATACAGATATACATATGTAGATAGATAGATCAAGACCAAATGGAGTAATACACTATTCACAGTTTAGTTACTCTGGACATCATCTTGAGAGTCGTCAAAAATGATTCAGTTATATTATGGCCTTTCAAACTTATTTTGCAGTTTAAATTGCCGAATATATTTCGATTTTACTGATTCACGGTTTTTATTACCACTCGTAGAGTAAAATTTTATTTGAACATGCGCTTAAGGAATTATTCAGCGCGTGAGTCAACGAACCTGCAAAAATGAGCAATAATTTTCTTTTTGACAGGCATTGATTAGAATAACACTTTAGTTAATGCTGGGTCGGGTTTGCTCGACTAGGAGGTACTTAAAGCTGTGTACTAAAAAAATAAAGAAGGTATAGAGTTATCGAACTGTTTTTCTGGTTTAGGATAGGTTTTGGGATAGTTGCGTTCATGTGGGCGGACTCTAACATGATATCCTGATTGAATATATATATGTATTTAATAGCATCTGCCAGGGCTTTTTCCTTCCTTTAAAGTGTAGACACTTATAACTTGAATGCCTTGAACTACAATTTATACTGGGTTTAGGGTATAAAAACTTGCCTAAAGAGTTGATGGTACTTTTCATATCTCAGCTATAGTAATACAATATTTATGCATATTGTTTGTAACTAATTTTAGTCATGCTAATCTTAATTCCCGTGAATTCCTGCTAAGCTCCAATTGTATTATTCATGCTGTTGCCACTTGCATTGGAATTGCTTTGTAATGTTTCGCATGTATGTAATCTATATTATTAATGATTCTCATTCATGTGCTGGGGGGCTTATCTATCTAGTTTGACAATTTCGACACACACACACCCAGTCATAGAATATTTATTAAAATGATTACCAGCTGTTACAATTGCCGTGCTATTGTGAAATACGTCTGCATAATGTGCCGGGGGCAGCAATGTTGGCTTGCTATTCATGAGCTCTATTTATAGCCCAAGCCGAAGAGCCAATGATAAGCTCCACGTCAGAGAAATTTAAAGGGGCTGATAACAGGCATAGTACAAACACAAACACAAACGCATACAAAAACACACACACACATACATACATATACGTGTCTCTATATATTTTTACAGTTTAGGTTTGTTCTTCTTGTGGTTGATTGGCTTAGAGTTGTCCTCTGATGGATCTCTGTGAGACATCCCTAAAAATTGGGTCATGTAAACAACACATTTCTGTTTTTTTTTTTTTGCGCAGTGCATTTACTGTTATTGTGGCTTATGGCTTAAATATATTTGGTCAGCCCAACGAACTCGAGTCTATTGACTCCACTGCAGCAGCATACATATAGATGGGCACGCTGGGTATATTTTATTGTCAGCTACTGGATGACATCACTGAAACAACAGAAGAGCAACAGAGACAGAGAAAGCGAGAATGTGCGGAAAGTGGTGAGTGGACCAAAGGCTATAAATTTGGGGCAGATATTCAATTTCAAAATTTGGCAAAGGAATATTCTTGGAAAGCCTTAAGGGCCTACTTGATACTTTATGAGAATCGCAGAGTGGGGCATGACTGTAATTGTATCATGTTTTCATTCATTTTATGTGCAGATGGTAAATGCAAGTGCTTAAATCATGCAAATATATGTATATATATATATATACATAATTACGTACATACATATTTTACCAAAGTTCATAGAATGCCAAAAAAAAAAAAACACTTTTTAATGCGACAACTTAAAATCAAATCATTCATATAGTCTGAAAGTCTTATACGTCGCGCCTTCTGGCTAATATTTAGCAAATTTTCCATGAAAATTGATTTTGTTTAAAATTTGACATAGATGTTTTTTTATATACATACATATATCTGAATATATGTAGTAAACAAAATTATCCAGGCTAGTTTCCTGTTCTTAATTGCTTAAGCGTCGCATTAATCACCAATCTGTCAGCCTTTCAGTCAGGAGTTACTATGCGTATATACATTTATATACATATGTACGTATAGTTAGACATATACATATACATACATATATGGTAGCAAAAAGTGAAGCGTGCGTGTACACGTCGGCATCCAATTTTCTAAATGGCTTTGCGTCTGACAACGTCTATCGACGTGTTTGCCGGTATTTTTCCTATATTTAACATGTTTGCCACATACTTTGGGCGATTATTGAACGCGACCTGGTGTATACCTGGTAAATATTTGGGTTAAACATATACGAGTCACTTGTGGCAGATCTATAAATGTATGTGTATATTCTAGATGGAGAAATATTCTAATTGCTCATCAATAATTATTTGTATATATACAGGTATATTGTTTGAGAGTCGACTACTAACAATTACTGCTTTATCTATAAGTTTATGTATAATACAGTTTTTAGAATACTTCAAGTCTAATTTATGTATAGAAATTACAAAAATTCGTTTCTTTTGTTTAGCTTATCCTGTTCCTTAGTTTTGGTATTTTCGCAATTTTCCAACACTGACCGTTGGCTGTAACAGATTAGCGAAAGGATACCCAGTGCCCATGCAATAAGCTCAACGTCCAAAAATTGCACACGTCATGCAAATAGAGTTTCTAGTTTCTAGCTTTCGGGGTCGCAATCGGCGGCCAACTCAAAGCTAGAATGTATACCTGTATGTATGTATGTATGTATGTCTGTTCAGTTCTTCTTCTTCTTCGTCTTCTGTAGTTGCTGCCATTCAATGAATGACCAGCAATTACAGCTCACACGCATACACACAAGACCCCGCTGCGTTCGTGTCTGTGGCTGTGTATGAGTGCGTGTGTATTTATGTTTGTATTTGTTAGACCTTCACTCACCTCCTTTACGCTTCTCAATTCGCCGTATGCTCAAGCCCATGTCTGGGTCCATGTCCATTTCAACGTCAGTATCAAAGCCAAAGCTGCGATAGCCCTTGGCACTTAATGCATCTGCATAGCTTTGCATGCCGTTGTTTTCACACACACACACACACACAGACACACACACACCTTTAAAAACCACCGGCGATGCCTGTTTCTCTATTGACAATAAGCTTTTATTTGGTGCGTTTGCGACGTGCCTTGAACTTGATGCTGCTGCTACTGCTGGGTTTTGCGGTGTCGTCACTTTTGGCTTGGCTGTTCACCTCCTCATCCCCTTTCAACTTGTATTCTGGGCTGTGTTGCAATTTCGTTCCGAATCGCAAACGATTATGTTTCTTGTTGGTAAATGCAAATACAAGATTTTTCTCACTCACAGAAATCACAAGCTATTTAAATATTAAATGACACGCCACTTTTGGTTCAACACAACGCAAAAAAATTATTTAAAAAAAAAAACAATAATACTGCTTTTGTATTGAACAAGATTAAATACGGCAATTCACTCGTTAAGCGCTACAGCTTTATTTTGCGACTGAAACGTTCAGCCGGAACTGTTTTTGTGCATTGCGCAGCGCAGATAATTTCAATGCGCCAGGCGTTGCCACCGGCGATTGCATAACGTTGCCAGCTGTCGAGAAAAAGGACGCGCGAGTAGCCACTGAGCTACCACTGCTGTGCTAGTGCTGCCAGTCATATCGATAATATCGACCAGTTTGTTTGGCGCGCTCATTTCAAATAAAAACCGCTGTTGCTGTAACTGAGCGCCAAATATGAAAAGAATTTTTGATAAAAAGTCCGTCTGTATCTTTTTTATTATTTAGTTTATTTGTTTCTTCTTTTTTTTTTATTTTTTTTTGTTTTTGTTTTGTTTTTGTGTTTGTTAATGTAATGCATAAAAATTGTGTTGTTTTAAAATTAAACCAATAAACATTTCACTTTATTAGTTTACAAATAATTTCACTTGTTCACGACAAATAGTTACTCAGATTTTCAATTGCAAAGTATTTAATTTTTTTATTTTTTTTATATTTTTTCTCTCTTTAAATGTTAGTTTTTTTTTTCTTGTTTTTCATTCTTTTTTCTTTTGTATATAAGGAAACGCAAAAAATCTCTAAACAAGAATATAGTTCTGTTTGATTTTTTCTTTGTCGTTTGTTTCTTGTTTGGAACGGCTTTATTGAACTTTTTGTTGTTGTTTGGATTTTTGTTGCATATAAGTACATTTATTTGTTTGTCTTTCTTCTTTTTAGTTTTTTGTTGCATTAAAAACATTAAATCTTTGGCAGGCATTGCATTTCGTAGTTTTGTAAAAGTTTCGATAAAACGATTGAAACCAAAATCGATAAATTCAAAATTATATTATTCAAAAATAAAATAAAAAACAATTATTTATATTAAATACATTTGAGATGAATTCTTTTCTGCTTTTGTTAATGATTTTTTATACTGTATTTTTTTTGTGTTTTTTATTTTTTGTTTCATTAATATATTAAATACACATCAATACGTTAGTTTAAAAATTGTGTTTTTTTTTTGTGCTAAATTACATTTTAAAAATATGCTTAATATTTTGTTGTTTTTTAGTTTTGTTTTTGCTTTTGTTAAGTCAAAGACACGAAAGTGAAAGAGGTTTTGGTTTTTGGTTTACGTCTGTTTTTGCTTAATTTATTATGTGTTTCTTTTCAATTTTGCTTTTACTTTTTAATAATTTAATTGTTATCATTTAGTGTAATTAATTTTTCATGCGCTTAATTTAAAACACCGAGAGTTTGCTCAAAAGTTTCTTAAATTTTGTTCTGTTTTTGTTTCTCCTTTTTTCCGAATTAAATGTTAAATATCGAAATATATATATATATATGTAAATATTTATATATATATATTTTTTTCGCTAATTTTCGTATTTTTATTCATGTGTGTTTAAATGTTTATGTTGCTTAAAAACACCGAAAGCTTAAAATTTAGAGATTTTCCTAAAGTGTAAAATTTTTACAATATTTTTGTTCTGTTTTTAATTATTTGTATTTTTTTTTTTTTAGTCGATTTTCGATTTTTGTTTTTGATTTTTTGTTCTTTTCTGTCTGACTGTGGTTCCTGTGGTTGTTGTTTGCTCATATTTCGTATAATGCATATTATTTTTCTAGAGTTTCTTTCCAGTTTATTGGCTGCTAAAAACGAACTTAAACTGTCGCTAAATGGAACCAAAAATATCTTAAAGAATATATATTTTTATTGGTTGAGTGGATCTAAATAAACAAGGTTTAAAGTAACCAGCTCCTTGATTGCCTCATTCTCCCCGTTCCTAGCCCGTTAGCTATACTAAAAATCTGTTCATATTTCGCATACCGTTTCAATAAATACATACATAATTTGTTGATTAAGGAAAAAACTGTATCACATTTTCAATTACGTCTTTGTTCGTAGCACCTTCATAACAAATGCTGGCAATGTGTGCTTCTACTTGTCACCCTTCTATTCGCTTCTCATTTCGCATTCCTTACCAGCTTTTTTCTAACTATTTACAGACATTTTGTGTGGCTGTGTTTGCTCTCAGTTCAATTCAATTCACTCAATACCACCTTCCACTACCCTTTCACTTCATTCTACCCCTTTGCTTCCCTCTTACACTTACCTACCATACAGTCGGAAAAAAATTGCGCTTCGGATTTTATCACAAAAATAATTACAGCTCCACAACATACCCATCTAATTCCTAACTCTTCTGCATGTTTCCTCTCCGTCTCTCTCCGTCTCTCTCCAACTCTCTGCCTCTTCCTCTCTCTCAATCTTTCTGTATCTACTTCGTACCAGCCCTGACTTAAACTAACATTGGTTCCACTTGGTTCCATTATTTCTGCTATATCCTTAATTACCATTTTTAATATACGCTCAATCCCAACACCGATCCCTATGCCAATCCTAATCCCATTCCCAATCCAATCTTGTTCTCACTCTCAATGTGTTCACAAATGAAACTAAATCTTTGGTATGGCTGCTCGCACATTCATTCCTCTTAAAGCCCTGACAAACTGATCAAACATGGCGGGAATGAAAATAAAATGATCAAGTGCTAGGGAAGACTTAACGCATGTTTGGGCATGTATCATAAAGAAAATCTAAAGCATGGAGGATCAAAATCAAAAACTATTACATAATATTATTATTATTTTTTAATTAATGGCATTGTTTGTTTGTTTTTTTTTTTTTTCATTTTAGTTTTTGTTATTATTTTGTTTTGTTTCGTCAAAATCAGTCTCTATTGCCTTTGTTCTATTTATGCTTGTCTTTCGATTTATAATGAAATTTTCTTTGTATATACTCGTTCACAACATGCGAATGGGGCGTTTTGGCTTTATTTCTATGAAACACGGCTATGTATATAAATAATGAAAATGTCTTAAGAAACATATAAAATTGTATTTCGTTTCGGAAATTACATATGTACATATGTTGAGACTGCTATAAGTTGAGTGTACTTAACAAATGGAGCTACATAACTTGTAAAATGGTACAAATATAGATATAGATTGTATTAGGCATATATTTATTTATGCTTTGGGTCTGTGAACGAGATTTATGCAGTCGACTGCGTCCGACTGCCAATTGTTTCTTATTTCATCTGCTGCTTCTTTTTGTTTATATTTTGGGCTTCTTTTGCTATTACTCAGGCTTCAGTAAAAAGTTTTTAATTGTTTTAATTTTTTTTTTTTTTACTTTTGCATATTTAAAACTCAATTTTAGAGTTTTATTTTTGTTTGTTTATTATTATTATTATTATTTATTTTTTGTTTGTATGTATGTAGTACACCTTAGAAAAATATCACATTCTTACTTCGTTCGTTCGTTCGTTCGAGAGACATTTTTATGTGTTTACATTTTGTTGTATTTTCTTTGGTTTTTAGTTTTTGCTCTTGCTATTTCGTTTTCTTTTTCTTTTCATTTAACTTCTATTTACAGTTCGACTAAAATATATAAAAAATGTAAAAAATATTTGATTTGAGGTCATTTTCTGAATTATTGCTAGTTGCTCTGGCGTGTTTTCTTTTCTCTTTCCCTTTTCTTCCATTCTCCTTTCAATTCGTCTCATAGCCCTTTATATATATGTATACATATATATATATCCCTATATATTTCTGTTTTACATTTAAATTGGAATTTCATCTAAAATTTTGTGTGTTTCCTATTTGATTTTTTCTTTCGTATATTTTGTAGACACAGAATTGTTTTTACGAGTATTTATAAAAAAAAAATTGTTTTTTTTTTTAATTTTTTGTTTTTTTTTTTTACTACATAAAGTTACACATATGTATGTGAATGTGTATATATTTTTATGTAATATTTTAGTGGACACGACAGTTAAAGTTTAGAGAGAGTTTTATAGAGAGAGAGAGAGCGAAAGAGAGACAAAATACAATTCTTTTATAATTAGTTTTTTTTTAGTTTTTTTTTTTTTTTTTTGATTTTCTTTTTAGCTCACAACATCAACAATGAAATATTTTTTAATTTTGTTATCTTATATGTGATTTTAGTTTTTTTTTTCTGTAAAAATCTCAAAAAGACGCCTAACACCGAAAAATATATTGCATGTACTACATTTTGTTTTTGTTTTTTATGTTATTTTTTAAAGTTATATTTATACATATATTTGTTTATGTATATATATATATATATATCTTTTCATATAATTTGTGTGTTTTGTCTTTCAAATGGCTTCCTTTATTTACATGAGTTAGTTTTTCTGTTAACAATGTATTTGATTATAGACAATTCAATATATTGATAGATAAAAAAAAATAGAAAACAAATTTTTAAAATATATTAATATAAACAAAAGTTTAAGTAATTTTATTTAAAAATATTTTGTGTTTAAATTGTTTACTAATAATTTTGTTACTTTAAAACTTCTCGTTTTTGAGTAATTTTCTTTCTTCTTTTGTTATTTAAGTGAAACCTCGAAATTGTCTTTTATTTTTTAGTTTTTTTTTTGTTATTTTCGTGAAATGTTTTTTTTTTGGGTTTTTTTTTTTTATTTTTCGTTTTGTCTTGAACTCGGTCTTCAGGCAGGCGCCCAGCTCATGTCAAGTGCAATTGGATCCAAGATATGAGTTGTTTTTGGGAATATCAACATATGCGAAACCTGATCCAAAACAGTCTCTATATCTATCTGTCTCTTTCTAGGTCAACATGCACTTGATCTAGGGCCTTACTGTGCTTGTGTGTGAGTGTGTGTATGTGTGTTCGTGTGATTATATGAAATATCATTCTCGTATTGATTTGGGGCTCATTTTCGTTAGTTACTCAAATAAACAACATTTATAATTTATTTCAAAATATGCATGCAATATATACGTACATATTTATATGTATGTGTATATGTGTATATATGCATTTATTTGTATATATATCTATATATATATGTAATAGACACCGAAAACCACATACATTCAATAATCTGTATAGAGATATATACTATGTATAATTTTTTTTTAATTTCTTCTTTCTTTTATTTTTATTTTTTTTATGAATTGCGTCTGTTTATGTGCGTGTGTGTGTGGTTGTGTGGGCTTTTTAAACTATATATATATATTTATGTATATATATATTTATATATAAATAAATATTGTTTTTAAAAATGCATCGATTCAATGCCAAAAAGTTTCGTTGTTGGATTTTGTAATATTTTTAGTTTCATTTGTTTTTTATAATATTATTTTGTTACACGTATTTCCTGCATTTTGTCTATGCCTTATTTAGCGTTACACTTAAAAAAAATTCTCGTAAGTTATACATACATATATTATGTAAATATATATATGGTAAATTTGTAATTTATGTATATATACATATATTGGTGTATGTATGTATATATATATATATATGAAATAAGAGTCTTGAATCCCTCCAATAATTTTGTTTTGTTTTTCATGACTTACAAATGAATTTGTTTTTTTTTTTTTTTAATATTTTATTTTGCCTTCCCGTTGTGGGCCTAAAAAGGTTTCCGTTTTTGTTTTCTCAAAATCATTTTTTATAATTTTGTTTCCATTATCTTTTTGTGTTTATTTTCGCTTTCAACATTTATGTGTTAATTGAATTCCATTAGCTAAGCACACACCAAATTTAATTTTATTTGTAATTTTTTAATTTGGGAAAAATTTACTTAGTTTGTATTTAATTTTTTTTTTCTTTTAATATTGCTTTATTTCTTACCTAAGTTAAAGTTTAGCTTCCTATGCCCTCAGCAAATATTTTATTTTATTTACGTTGTATTTCTTTATTTTCTTTAAAATTTTTTATCTGTTGAACCTGATTTACGACAAACGAAATAAATAAATTTTATGCTTAGGTTTGCATGATAAAAACAAAATTAAATAAAAAAAATGATCGATAACAATATATCATTCGGGGTTTATTGTACACATACATATATGTGTACTGCATACATAAGCTGCTTTGGTCTTCTGCTTTTGTTCTTGATCCACCCTAGTCAAGTTTGCATTGAACTCGTTGCTCGATGTCTTTCACTCAAACACTGAGAGAAAATTCAGAAAGCAACCAGTCTCCTCGAATTGATGTACAGTTTAAAGCTGTAAACTTGAAACACCGATATTTATCGATAACAATCAGACTGTATATAATGTTATATGTTTTTATTAAATATACAATTTTTAAATCTCATGCGGACGGATCGACAGGCATGACGATGAGACTGACATGATTGAACTAATCAGGAAGAGATACATATATGCATATATAAAAAAAATCCTTTGAAAGAGAATTAGAAGAATATGAAAAGAATAATAAAAATTAAAATAAAATGCAATCTGTTTTGTGTAATGCAAAAAAACTTTATTAATAATAAATACTATGAAATAAAAATAATTAAATATAATAATAATTGTCACAAAAAATCAAAGTTTCACATACATAGCTCACAGCATGTTAATTCAAATAATTGTTTATATAGATATTTATAATAATAATAAGAAATAAAAGTATTTAGAGAAATTCCAAAAATGAAAATAATCAAGTGAACATAAAAGTGGTTTAGAATATATTTTTATTTTTTATATGCTAAAAAAAAATTAATTTTTATTTTTAATTTTTTTTTTTATTTTTTGCAATTGTGATGCTTTAAAAATTAAATTTTTATAAATATACTAAAAAGATTTTGTATTTGTTTCATTTTCGTGTGTGTTTTGTGCTTGCAATAAAAAAGGCAGTGTTTGTTGTTGTTGAAATACATAAAAATAAAAATTAATGAAAAAAAAAAAATAGCGGAATAAACTTGTAAGCAATACAAATTATATGTATTAAAAAATCATTTAGTTGTTCATATAAATTGTATAAATTATAATTAAACCTAAACAATTTGCTAGTGGCCCTGATCGTTCGATATTTATCGATTTATGTGTGCATACATATATGTATACATTTCGATTTATTTGCGTATAAAATAAAAGAACAAATATGTGGGATTTGTCTTTTGAGTTGTTAGAAATAAATGTAAACTTTTTGTTGAAATTTTTCAATTATTTAAGTTAAGTTAAGAGAAAAGAATCTATATATATGTATATAAAACTGTGCACATAATTTTGTTAAACTATCACAAAATTTACTACAATTGAACACTATTGGAGAGAGAGAAAGGGAGCGAGAGTTAGTATGGGGGAGAAAGCAACAAAAATTTACTTAAATATTTAATTGTGAAATCAAAAAAATCTCAGATTTGTAAGTTTGCTAGCTAAAATTATTGCCTCTGGCTGGTAAATTAGTATAAGTAGCTTCGATTAAATTAGTTAACAGCAGATTTTAGCTTCTAGTTATATATACGTGTGTGTGTGTGTGTGTGTGTATGTGTACAATGGTTTGACTGTTCTATGGAATCTATTGTAAAAACCTTGGTTAGCTGATATTATTAGTATTATTTTTTTAATATTCATTTGTTTAGATTTAGCTTTTGCTTTTACTTTTACTTGCTTCTCTTTAATATTTATTTAAATTATGAGGTACTTTAAACTTTTTGGCACAGTGAAAGTTTAACCTTCCATCAACTTTTCCAGCTTGACAATTATTTCTTTATTATTATTATTATTATTTGTTGTTTATTTATTTATTTATTTTGTTTTTTTTTGGTACGGCAAATATGGTTGTTTATTTAAGTATTCGCTTCAGGCTTAGGACATTTATTAAAAAAAAATGTATATATATATTTTATATATATGGAAACATTATTTCATATATGTATACACACACACACATATATGTATATACACATATGCATGTATGTAATCATGTATGTGTGTATGTATATATACTATGTATATTTAGTTTTCATAGCTGTTTTGCCTCTTGTATGTTGAAACTACAATTTACAATTTAATTCGATGTTCTTGGTTCAAAGTTTGTTAGTTTGTTTTATTTCTGTATCTAGTTTTTGTTTGTATTTTTTTTTTATTTTTTATGATCACTTTGTCTGTGTATGTGTGCGTGTGTGTGTGTGTGTGTGTGTGTTTATTTGGTGGTAACTTTTGTTTGCAACATTTTCTTTATGAAATGAGCCATAATAAATGAAGCAGCTTCTAGGCATATACAAAATTAGTAGTCTTTATGTGTAATTCTTCTGTTTATTGTAAACAAATTGCACGTCTCGTTGCTTGGGACAGCAGCTGCGCAGCCCAGCGGCGCAGCACACGGAGCGAAGACTGAACGACAAAAAGCTGACTAGTACAATATGGCGCAGCTGAGCGTCAAAAGCTCGCTAGTACAAGACGCCAACATGCAGACAGTGGAATTGGCTCTCTCTCTCTCTCTGTCACTCTTTCTGCCTCACTGTGATGTCGACAAGCAGAGACAGGATCTAGCTCACTGTCTCTTTCTCGCTCGCTCTCGCTGTGTGCTTAGCCGCGATTGGCGCAGCTGCCTTAAATCTATTTTGCCTATTGTTTTTGGGTATTTTAGTTTTAGTATCTATTTTGTTTTACTTGTAGCTTTGCTATTGTTTCTCTTATACTCTTTCTTTTCTTGTAAATTGTAAGTAAGTTATTTGTTATTTTGTTGTTGCTGGAATCACAGTTAGTTTGTGTTGTTGTAGTTGTTGTTTTTCATTTTGTAAAAAAAAGAAAAAACCTTTTATTTGATTTGCTTTGTTATTTGCTATTTCTATGTGTCTCATCTCTTTTCTATTTGTTTGTAAAATTGTTGTATGCTTGTTTTGTAAATTATTAAACTATTGACGGTGGTTGCACATAAGTAAATATTATTTGTAACTCTAGCCTGCCTCAAGCCTCCGATTCGAATCCAGTTTCCCAGTTCCCTCAAACTCCCAGCTCCTCCCCGCTTCCACTTCTCTACTCATCCTAATGCCTCAGTTTAACTTTTAGTTGATTTTTGATTTGTATAAATTATAATAAGTTTCTCCTTTTTGTATTGTTTGTCTGTTTGTTTGCTGTCTGTTTGCTTTAAGCTAGCACATACGTTTAAAAAACATATATTCAGTATATATAGTTGTCTCTCTTGCCTCTATGGTTTTTTGATTTTCGTTTCCATTCACTGTTCGTCCGTCAGTCCGTCAGTCCGTCTGTCTTATTGTAAAAATTATATATAAATTGCTATAAAAACAAAAAAATAACTAAAATCCTTTTATTGTTTTGCTGGTTATTGTTATTGTTATTGTTACTATTTCTCTTTGAGTTTCTCATTCGATTTATATCTTGCTGCTGCTTCTTATCCTTCTTCTTATTCTTCTTCTTCTGCATTGGTGCTGCCAACCAGTTGCATTTCGCTTCATTTCATTTCCTTTCATTTCAATCTCCTCTCCTTTCGTTTCATTCTTTCTCTTTTGTCTCAGCTCTCGAGTTAAACTCTCTATTAGTTAGTTTCTTTCTATATTTTGTACAATATATTTTGCTATTTAGTTTTAAATAAATGTAAAATTAGTTTTTTTTTTTTTTTAGTTTAGCTTTTAGAGTTGCTCTATGTAAACGGCAGATTTATGGTACTTGGTGATTTGAATGTATTCTTTTTGTTTTCTTTTCTCTCAAAAACACAGACTATTTTCATATATATTGCAGTTTGTTGTTGTAGTTAGTAGTTGCCTTGCAGCTGCCAGAACTAATTAGATCTCCTTATATATTCCACTAAAAAAAACCCCTCACTTAACCATAGAAAACTTTGCATATTAGATAGAAAAAAAAAGAATTTAAACACTTCTACTAATTACAATTATTTATGCTTTAGTTTCAACTCTTAAAGACATTAATACCCGTGCTAATAGTTCTTAATGTTCTTCATCTTCTTCTATATATATATATATATATATATATATAAAAAAAAAAAAAAAAAAAAAAATTAACCCTGCACACACGTTGATTGCTCTATGGCTTATCAGTGCGCTGACTGTACCTCAGCACCGTTTCTTCAAATTCTCATTTGAATTCGAATTCGAGTTCGAGTTCGCATAGTAATTATATATATATATGTATATATATAAAAAAAAATAATTAGACACTTGTAAATCTAATAATAATGGTAGTAATAATAGATCTATACATCAATTTTCATGTTTCCTGTAATTTATGCCTCTTGTGTGTATTTTTCATTACTTGTCTCCGCTCTTTTCTTTGAGTGTATTCTGTGTTGTCTGGTGTAGTGTGAGTGTGTGAGTGCGTGAGTGTGTTTGTGTGTGTGTATGGTTAGTTGGCTTATCTGCGTAGGAGACGCCTCCTACGCGCCTCATCTCAGCGCGGCGCATTGTGAATGTGCGTGGTCAAATGCTTGGACAGATAGTCGGCCCGGGCGAAGCACTTGCCACACGACTCGCAGTGGTACGGCCGCTCGCCGGTGTGGATGCGCAGATGGCGCGTCAGATCCGATTTGCCGCCGAACGCGCGACCGCAGAACAGGCAGACGAACGGACGTTCGCCGGTGTGTTTGCGCACGTGCAGCTTCAGGTTCTCCTTGGAGCGGACGCACTTGCCACAGAACGGACAGGCGAAACGCGACGTGGTGGGCCTGTAAAGGAAGTGCGCTTTTAGATCAAATCATATTTGGTAAAGTCAATAAATAGCGAAACTGGTTCGTGTATACACGTGAACTAGTTCATTTGGCATTGTTTCAGTCTTTATTTGCTGCATCAATTGTTAAGTGATGCAAATGAACTGCTAAGTTCCAAATCTGCACCTAGTTCAATTGAACTGAACTAGTTCTTTGAGCCATTATGAACTAGTTCACGTGCACTATGAATGAATCAGTTTAGTTTGACGCATAATAATCACATGGAACCAGTCTAAGACCTGCTGAACTAGTTGCATACACTAGTTCATTTTTATGGTAAGCTCTTGCTCAACTAGTTCACTCATCGAATCAGTTGAACTTACCGCTTGTCGCGCTGTCGCTCGGCCGCATCCACTCGCAAGAAGTTGAGTATTGAAGCCTCCTGCGGATTGAGGCCCAGGAACTGCTCATTGGGTATGCGCTCCGCATTGATCAGCGAAGTCAGCGAGCTGAGCGAACTGATGCCGCTGCCACCCACGCCGCTGTTGGCAGTGCCGGCTGCGCCAGCCCCTGGACTGGAATTGCAGCCAGCTGCAGCGGCCGCCGCAGCTGCTGCTGCCGAGGAGGAGCCGGCTGCAGCGCTGGCCATTGGCAGTGAGACGTGCGCCAGATGCGGAGGCAGTTGCTGAGATTGTGACTGCGACTGAGACTGAGACTGCGACTGCTGTTGCTGCTGTTGATGATGATGGTGTTGTTGCTGTTGTTGTTGTTGTTGCTGTTGTTGATGGTGATGATGGTGTTGCTGATGATGATAGGAGGGATCCGTTTCCAAGTGGTGTGCGCTGTTCAACAGGCGTGACTGCAAGGCAAGAACAAGTTCAAATTGAAGATATATGTACATATACTCTGAATATAGAGGAGTGCAATGATCTTTATAAAAAGACGAGCCAATGTTGGGGATAAAGGCATATTTCAAAATATTCCTTAGAGTTCTAGATGGGAATTTTCATGATAGATGCATTCATCAAATCAGATTTGTTATAAAGTTAAAGGAAATCCTCGGAATTCTCCTACTATTCCACATTTCTGATGTCCTCAAGATCGATTATGGCCTGGTAAATTGCTGTAATCGCATCACTTACCCGCTTGTTTGTACTATGTATGCCGTCCGAGCTGCTGATGTTCGGCTCCGTGGCGCTCGTGGAGGCCGAAGCCGATGAGTTGTTGTCATTGTAGAGCATCGTAATGCCCGCCGAATCGATGGTGTTGTCCTGCTCGTGCTCCTCGCTGGTGGCCTCTTGCTGGTGACCGGACTCGTCGCTCTCGCGCTTCACATTGATGCGCAGATCCTCGCCCTCGTCGGCCAGCATCGGCTCCTGCGAGCTGGTGACCACATCCTGGTCCAGCTGGGCCGATGTGGCTGCTGCTGCTGCGGCTGCTGCCGCTGCCGCTGCTGCTGTGCCGCTAATCATGCGCGCCACGCCCACACCGACACCGACACCAACACCCACACCGATCGACTTCTTGCCATGGAGACGCTCGAGCGCATGGTTGAGCCGATGCTTCTTGAAGCTCTTCAGATAGCGGAACTGCATGCCGCAGACGTCGCAGGTGAAGAGCTTGTCCGCGGGCAGGCGGGCGCGATGATTCTGCTCCTTGTGCTTGGCATAGGCGCTGCGATAGCGATACGACTGCCCGCACTGCTCGCATATGAAGGGCTTCTCCTCGCCCGGCCCAATGTGCGGATGCTGCAGTGCCGCATGCTGCTCCAGCAGCCAGACGTTCGGGAAGTGCGCGTTGCAGACGACGCAGCGCGTCTCCTCCTCGATGGGCTCGCTGAACAGCGAGGAGCACGTGTCCGAGGGGCTCTTCAGCATCTGGCTCAGCTGCTGGTGCTGGGCGAGCAGTGCGCCGCTCGGCGGCGGCGTCGATGAGGTAGACGACGAGGAGCTCTTCTCCTTGCAGCTGCTCGAGGTGTCCGTGCAGCTGACGGGCGTGCCCGCCCCCGAGAGCAGCAGCTGCGTGTACTGGCGCAGGCCGCTGGCGTCCACAATGACGCCAGCCCCACTTCCAACTCCAGCTCCAGCTGCGGCGCCAGCTCCAACTACCCCGGCGCTGGGCGTGCTGTTGTTGGCGGTGCGACGTCGGTGCTGCTGCTGGTGTTGGTGTTGGTGCTGCTGGGCCAGCAGCTGCTCCAGGGACTCCTTGTATAGCAGAGCGCTGCTGTTGGGCGTCACGACGCTGCGCTCGCTGCCCAGCTCGACAATGGTGACGTCATCGTTGCCCTCCGACTGGCCCTCCAGCTGCGATTCCGCTGAGATGGCCGTCGACGAGGTGGCTATCTGCTGGGGCGAGGGCGTGCCCGCCGATTTGCCGCCCTTCGAGGGCTGATAATAGCCAGTGGGCGTGGCATAGCGCATATTGAAGGCGACATGTGGCGGCGGCGGCGGCGTTGGCTGTGATTGTTGCTGTTGCTGAGACGGTTGCTGTTGTTGCTGTTGTTGCTGCTGCTGTTGTTGCTGTGTGGCTTGTTGCTGTTGCTGTTGTTTGTACTGTGGATCGCTGGAACGGCTCGTTGTGGACTGCGTCTGCTTGGCCGCATAGCTGGCCGCAGTTGGCTGATAGTCCTTGGTAAGCAGATCGCTTAACGTGGTAAAACGGTGGGGAAAGTCCTTTGGCGCGCCGAGCATGCCGCGAGTGCTGCACAAAAAAGAGGCAAACGAAACGAATGGAATGTGCTCCAGATGGAACTGAACTGATCGGACTTACCGTAATGCCTCCTCGGCCAGCCAGGTCTGATGGTGCAGCAGGTTCAGTATTCTGGACGGATCAATGTCGAACAGGCTCAGCCCGAGCGGCGAGAAGGGAAACGCAAACGGCGTGGGGCAGCCACTGGCGGCCATCGCGCTCATCGGGGAGCCAAAGTTGCGCAGCAGCTGTCAAGGCAAGAGGATAGATCAGATCAACGCGCACCATAAACACGTATATATAGATATATAAGGTATATATAGTATATGCATATCTAAGGTCAACTATTGAGGCTGCTTCTAGGTAGGTTGGTTGGGTTCGCTGGGGTCGAGGGGGGGCCAGACAATTGCTGCTAGGCTGCCAGCATGTGGCATGTGGCATGTGGCATGTGTGAGTGCATTAGGTTCAAGACAGAGTCACAATCGAGATATACATACATGGTTAGATATTGGGAGAGTGGGGGAAGCATGCAGTGCGGGTTTTATGTACATAGCCTACACTCTCCAGCCAAGAGTCGTGTCTACGCAAGCCAAACAGCACAACTAAGCATAATTATGTGAAAATAGTGACTAAAACTACCTTAGTTGCCCTTACTAATTGTTGAGTCGGTCGTCGCGAGGTACTTACGTATGCGTTGCCAGCGTTTCAGGGCCTAGTTTTATATATTAGAAAGACAATACATAGTGTAAAGAAACACTCTCAAACAAACAAAAGATTCAACGATCATCACCAAGAGCCAAGTGGAAAGAAATAGTAGAAATATTCAATATATGCAAACACATGAGTTCTGGGAATAGCCAGTGTTGCGAAATGGCCAGTATTGCGATTCAAATGAAAGTATTTGAGAATTTCGAATTGTTGCCAACTGATATTTAAAGGTTTAATTACCGATTAATTACTCACAAAATAGTCCTTAATTACTTAAGTATTTGTAATTACTCGTTTTCTATATACAAAAAAAAGTATTAGCTTTGAAGCAATTCATCAACTACTTATTTTAAATTTTTAATTACTCAAGTAATTAGACTTGAGTAATTTCAGATACTCAAAGTAATTAAACCTTTACACAAGTATTTTCAGAATATTTATAGTTCAAATATGTACTTATATATAATATTGTGTGTTTATAGTTATGTTACAGTTTGTCTAAGCCCAATAAAAACTCGTACTCGATATTTTCAGTAGTTTTATTTATATAGAATTTACTTTCCCTTCTCTTCATCTTGTTTTTGTTTTTTTTATTTATTTTTTTTTTGCTTTTTCTTTTGTTGTTATTCTTTTCTTTTCATTTTCTTTTTGTTATGTTGTTTTTGTTTGTTCTGTGTTTCATTCTTTTCTCTTTCTTGTTTTTGTTAGTTTGCTTTGTGTTTGTTCTTCTTTATTTCAACTTTCTCGCATTTGTTTTTTGTTTTTATTTTTTGTTGTTGTTTGCATTATAAACAGCTAACACCTTTGTCAACTAGAAATTGCGATATCTAGGCTATATAGCTGGCCCTCTATATCATACCATATCATATCATATAATGTATGCATTCTGTTAGGTCCTCATAGGTTAACCTGGTTACCTAGTGCTGTCTAGCCTGCCTCTTCATCATTCTTATCTGCCTCATTTTCCTCCTCTACTACTAACTTGGATGCGAAGTAGCACTCCCGGATAGCCTGGGCTATTACTGAATTTCGATATTGCAAGAAGATTTTCTGCTGCGGGCTCTATCTGTTGTGTCTGTATGTGTGTGTGCGTGTGTGTGTGTGTGTGTCTTTCTCTGATCTGTGTGTGTATTGGTTTTTCTCCTTGTTTTTATATCTTTTATTTACTTTTTTTTTTATAAACTATGATATGCCTTGCTTTGCTTAAATATTTTGTTTATAAACTTTTTAGCTTTTCATATAATAATTTCATATAAATTTTGTTTGCCTTTTTTTGGGGTTTGCCTAAAATATGTTTAATTTACCATTGTGTGTGTGTGTGTGTAAGAGTGTGTTTTTTTGTGTGTGTGTGTGTATATAGGTATATCAGTTATTGAATTTCTCATCTAAAATATTTGTTGTTGCTTGTTCGCGTCTATTTGTTTTCGGTGCCTGATATAAGCTGCTCTCATTATCATAATCAATAATCATTAATCATTAATCAGTAAACATTATTCATTAGTCATTATTCATTACGAGTACTTGACTTGATTCCATTATTCAGCATTGGACAACTCGAAAATGAGTTGGCTATAAGTGTTTTATGTTGCTCAGTGCTTTTAGTTGGTTTTTAGGTTTTTCTCTTTTCATTTGCTTCTGGGGGTTTTACATTCGACTTGTTTCGACTACGAAAAAAATATATTTATACATATATAGAAATATATATATGTGTGTGTGAGTAGGTATATATATGTATATGTATATATAGAGCATTTTTTAACCTTCCTTTTGTTTTTGTTTTAGTTTTCTGCTCTCATAGAAAATGAGATTTTTCTTGTTGCTGTTGTTTTGTTTATTTTTTGTTATTTATTAGTTAAATGAAGCTCAAGCTCTTTAAGCTGGTCTAGAGACCAGATATAATCGTCATACAAAACAAAAAACTTAAAGGTGCTGACAAAAAGCTCAATGATACAATATTCGCTGTACGCTCAGCGAATTCGCCCAACATTCGGCGGGGCGTCCATTTTGAAAGCTCGGCGAAATCGTTGAGAAGGCGTTGATGATCGGGCTGTGTGTGTGTGTGTGAGTGTGTGTGTGTATGAGTGAATGAAAAAATGAGTGAAACATGCTTGAAGTAAATGATTTGTTTACTTTATGTCAATTTTATTTGAGAAAAAATTTAATTTAAAATATATATGTATGTATATATGTATAGATGTATATACGCATATATGTATACTAAACGAAATACTACAAATAATGGAAAATGGAACTTAAATTGCAATTTAATATTAAAACATAATTGTAATTCTATTTGAAAAGTCTGAATTGGAAAATTATTTTTCATGCGCTGTTAGCTAAATAAATATGCTTAAAATGTGTTTGAGCGCTTACAAAATAATATCAATAATACCTAGGCATATAAGATTCCAATATATGTATTTATGAATGTAAATATATATATATATATATATATATATTTATTTAAGTGAATAAAATCAAACACAACTTTAAAATTAATGATAAAAATCGAATTTAGTCACGCGCCTCTTAAATATATTTTAATATATTATGTTTAATTATGTTTTAAATATTTATATATATATATGTATGTGTGTATGGGTGTGTGTGTGTGTGTATATATCTACTCACTTATTCTTAATGCATTTCATTATATTTAAAATGTTGCTTCTGCTGTCGCTTTATAGTTAGTTAATCATAGTTTATAAATATGCTTGTATGTCTATATTGTTAGGAACATATTGACGTAATTATAACGTATTGCAGCTATTTTTTATTTTTATTTAGTTTATGTTTTATTTTTGTAATTGGTTTTTGTGTGTTTTTGTTTTGTCAGCGAACCACCTTCTCAACAGCTCAGAAGCATATCAAAAACTCAATATTCAGTTGCCATTTGCCGCAGCTGAAGCTCAGGAAGCCTCTACATAACTACTCAAAATAATGAAAAGAACAGTCGGGCGTTACCAACTGCTGAATACTCATTCACGTATATATGTAGTATACTTTATTTGTGCAATTCAATAGATGGGCAGATCGAAAAAAAATCTTTACATATGTTCGAAATTTCATGGGTCTATGGCGGCATTCGCGCAGACAAGCCGACGGACAGTATTCCAATCCAATATATTCTTTTCACTTTCGTGAATGAGTAAAAAAGAAATAAGTAAAAATTGTAATCAGCCGTCAATTCAAGCCTCAAACTGACAAAAAAAAAAACAATTCGAATACAAAATAAAAATAATAATACAAAATTTGCAATTTTTGCTTCTCGAGCTGCTTCAAAGATTTATATTAATAATATGTGTGTGCGTGGGTAAGGGAATGAAATATAAAATAATTAAATATTTTTATATTTGTATATTAAAAAAAAAAATGTCTATTTGATGCGGCGCGCCATAAAAAAAAAAAAAAAAACAAACAAAAATTATGATGAGCCTCATAGGAAACGTAAAATTTCAACCGTAGTTAACTAAAACTATTATTTAGCTATTTATTTTTTTATTATTATTTATTTTTTATTTATGAATGTCTGCTGTCTTTTATGAGTAAATTTTATTTTATTTATTATTGTTTTTTTTTTTTTTTTTTGGGATGTGGCAAAATTTGCTAAATTAAATTTAAGCGCAATGGAAATGAATAACTTACAAAATGTTTTTAGAAAACATTATTAACACATTTTCATTTTTATTTGTAATGTTAAATTAATTTAAAATTTAATATTATTGTATGTGTGTGTGTGTGTGTGTGTGACTGTTCATAAATTATGTTAAAATCGCATGGAAATTCAAAACAACAAAAAATTTTGATGCACTACGAATTCCACTTTGAATTTTAGTTAGATTTTTAATTTTTAAAAATTCATTTAATTTGCTTTTTTTTTTGGGTTTTCTTTTGGTTTTGGGAAGGTTAAAAAATTGCATTGTTTTTTTTTTGTGTTGTTTTGCTCAAAGTTTTGTTTGCGTTTGTTTTCTTTTTGCTTCTTGTTTTCTTAAGTTTTATAAAGTATTTTGATAGTATTTTTCTCGTTTTTTTTTTTTTTTTTGTTTTTGGTTTTAATATGTTTTTGTTGTGGCTGTGAAAATATTTGCGCTCTATAAACTAATATATTTCTCCATAATTTTTTGTAATTTGTTTTTTTTTTTTTTTAGTTTTTTTTTTTTTGTATTTTGTTTTGGGTTTTTCTCTTCAGTGGATATGCAAAACTACTTTGTTGTTTGTTTGTTTGTGTTGTTGTTGTTGTTGTGTTGCTACTTTTGTTTTAGTTGATTTGGTTGTGAGATTGTTAAATCTGGTCTTAACTCCTCTTCTTCTTGTTCTTCTATATAGTAAGTAAAATTTTGTTCGCCTTGAAGCATTTCCATAAATTTTACACTGCTTATAAATACTGCTGAGTGTGTGTGTGTGTGTGTGGCTCTGTGTATATAGTATGTATATATATATATATGTTTTTTTTTTAGTTATATATATATGGTTCAATGCCTCCATTGCTCACTAAAAAAATAACTATAAAAAAAACTGCAATTCTGTTGACTTTCTTCTATCT